TCATTGCTGTTGTGAGCTACCCTTTTACCATGGCATCACAACACATCCAAGACATGTATTCAGCAGAATCCTTTTCTGGTTTCGTGATGGACCCATAAACGAAACCAACCTTATTTTTGGCAAAGAGAAAGTTCATCATCTCTTGAGACCGATCTGTATAGTTGCTGTCAATGAGAGTTTCATTGGCATGAATTTGTTCAGGGTATTCAAATGCATAGATATAGAATGGAGAATTCGTATCAGGAATGCCATCATTCTTCTTTTGGTTTGAACTTTCTGCAACGCCCGTCAAGATTGTTGATCGACTAGGGTTTGGCGTGTTTGGTTAAAATCCACTCTGATACTATCTAGAAATTTACAACTCAAAGATTGATTCTTCAATTGAACATCAGAAGGTTTAAAATACAAGGAAAAATAAATATAAACGGAATGCCCTAAACATAAGGCACAAGACAAATAATATATATGCATAAGTGTAATACATAAATAAAAACTAAAATCCAATAACTTCTCTCTCTCATACACACACACACACAAGCATGCTCGTTCTTGAAACATAGTCAAGGTTAACACCCGGTTCCTGAGTTCAAGTTAACGAGAGAAAAGAATGCAAATTGATGGAAGTGAAAAGAAATTAAAAGAAATTGGTGTTCCCAAGTTTCATTAAAGTAAGGAAATAGAAGGACCACTTTCCCTCCTAACTTTCCTTCCGATTTGGAAGGATTTGGAGAGAAAGAACAAAATGTGTAATTTGCATTCCACTTCTCTCCAAATTAGGAACACAAACGACAAATTTCTTTTTCTTTCCTTACTTTCTTTTCTGTTCTTTTCTTTCCTTTGCTAAAACCCGGGAACTAGGTGGAAATGCAGAATACAACCACAAAGGTCTAGTGAAAAAGATCATCCTTCAGGCTAAACGACCACAAAACGTACATTTGTGGACAGTGGCGGACGCAGAACATTTTCGTAGAGGTGGCACTAAATTTTTTTTTCAAATAAATCTATATTAGTAGTGTCACTCGTGTTTTAAGCCGGTGCACCCAATAGAAAAAACATTAAATTTTTTTTTACACTACGTGCCGGCGTCGGAGTAGTGGCGCGGGACCCCTGGGGCACCACTAAGGTCCGCCACTGTTTGTGGATTTATACCTAATCACTACAAAACACACCATTTACGAGATAGGAATTCCCAATTAGTAATCAGGAATTTTTTGGTGAATTTATTTGTGGCTATTATGCAAGCTTACGATCCCTCATTCTAAATTTGTAGCATTCAGAACTAAAGACAGATGCACTAAAAAAGATGGATAAACTAAAACTGCTCCACCTAAGTCATGTGCAACTCGAAGGGTCATATGAGAATTTTTCAGAAGATTTAAGATGGCTCTGCTGGTTTGGATCCCAATTAAGAACAATACCCTCTGACTTATCCATGGAAAACTTGGTGGCTATGGATATGAGCTATAGCAACCTGGAAGTATTTGATCCGCCCATGGTAGGGAATTTGATATCTCTTTTTGTTGCTTATCCATTTTGTGTCTCGGTTTTGGTGATTTTTATGCAGATATTAAGTGCTACCTAAATCTTGCTACTTTTGCAACAGGTTCTTCAATCATTGCGGATATTAAACCTTAAAGACTCGCACAATCTATTGGAAATCCGCAACATGTCCAGGATCCCTCATCTGGAGACTTTGATTCTTTGGAACTGTCACAGTCTGGTTCATATTTGTGAAACCATTGAAGACCTGACAAGTCTTGCACTACTGAACCTAACAGGGTGTATAAACCTGTTAATAGGGCTGAAAGTTTCTACTTCTGATGGAGGCGTTGCAAAACAACCTACCTTTTCCTTCCCACATTCATTACGTCGCTTATTCTTCAATGAGTGCAATATTGAGTTTACTGATTCTTTTTGTTTGAGTTTCAGTGTTCACATATCTTTGCAGTACTTGAATTTAGGCAATAATCTATTTGAGTTTCTTCCTTGTTATGATCATCTTAAAAATCTTCGGGTCCTTGACTTGAGTTTTTGCTCAAGACTTAAATGGCTTCTATGCCTCCCAAGTACACTCGCAGAATTATACATATATTATTGTACATCATTGGAGAGAGTAACTTTTGAATCTCCTCGTTTCACATTGCAAGAGTTTGGCTATGAAGGTTGTAGTAGTTTGTGTGAAATTGAAGGCTTTATCAAATTATTCCATATAGCCAAACTTGAAGATAATGATTTGGGACACATGAAGTGGCTAAAGGAATATCAAAATTATAAGGTGCGCCTGGTTGGTGATGATGAGCTTACCAAAGGCAGAAGTTCATCTTTACAGGTTCGTTGACTCTCTCTCTCTCTCTCTCTCTCTCTCTCTCTCTCTCTCTCTCTCTCTCTCTCTCTCTCTCTCTCTCTCTCTCTCTCTCTCTCTCATGCATGCATAACAACATAAGCACACATATGTAAATCAACATATATACCACCTTTGAACTTATTGTGTGACTGAATTGTATGTCACAGATGTTGTATGAATTCGATATAATGAGTACATCTCTACCAGACATAAAGGATCCAAACATGAAGCCTAATTATGCATCAAAGTTATCGTTTTTGTCCTTTAACGTTCCTTCAGATCCCACAAGTAGGAGGCTCAAAGGACTTGATGTAACTTTCAGATACACAATTTCAGGTGATGAGTGTGCATGGTTCTGTAAAATATGTACGACCAAAGGTGTTGATTTGATTTACAATCCCAAAGTCTTCGGCAAACCTGACTCTGGTAAAGTTGGTATATGGTTAAGCTATTGGCCAATTGGAAACACATTGGACATTGGAGATACAGTTAATGTCTCTATTGTTGCGATGAGAGGATTGAAAGTACATGAGTGTGGTGTGAGCCTTGTTTACTCTGACAATGAAGTAGCTGAAGAAACCTTGATTAATAACAAGGGATGGGTAGAAATTCTTGGAGGAGATTTGTCTGGATTTCAACTAAGCACAGGAGTCTACTATCTTTGTCGACGTGATTTCTTTGAGTTGGTGGAAGCTGGTGGACTGACTCGTGGTTGGTTTAGAATGTTAGTTGGTGGTAGCATTGACCATATAGGTATGCCTTTCTTGTCATTTGTGAAGCCATTTCTGGACATTTGTAGTTAGAATTATGCAGTCGAGCGAACCCATCATTTACAGAGCTCATCTTATGACACATTGTTACAGAGGTACAGGGATGGAGAAAGACAGGTCGACCTAGGCAGTCGAACCCATCAATTACAGAGTTAAGAGCTGTTAGATGCATCATCCATGGTCCTGAATTGGTAAGTTTGCTCTATAATATTTCTTTTCTGGCATCATCCATGGTCCTGAAATAACTGTGTTTTACTAATCTAATCTGTGGCTCTGGTGTTTATGAAAACAAAAAGGAGGAGATGTACAAGATGGCAGAGATGTCAAAATCATCTTTTGTAGATAAATGTTCAGAGGTCACATCAAGCATACTTGGGGATACAAGTTCAATAGCTTCTGGTTCTTCCTCAAGCAATAAGGCTTCTCTTGATGCTAATGATGGAATCTACGACGTTTTCTTAAACCACAGTGGCAGAAATACTCGTAATTCTTTTATAGATCATCTTTACACAGCATTAAAACGAGCAGCAATTGAAACTTTTATGGATACCCCAGAATTCTACATAGCTGCAGGAATGATCTCACCGAGAGTAATTAAAGGATCTAGATCTTCAATAATTGTATTGTCAGAAAACTATGCAACTTCCAGTATTTGCCTTGACGAGCTTTTGTTGATCCTTGAACAAAGGAGGGAGCATAATCATTTCGTTCTACCTATTTATTATCAAGTTAATCCTTCTGATGTCAGGAATCAACAAAATACTTTCGCAATCAATGTCAAATCCTCTCCGAAGTGGACGGATCACAAAGTGAACCTGTGGAAGAAAGGCCTGAAGGAAGTTGCTGATTTGGGTGGCTTGGTTTGTTTGGGGTATGCCTCTTAGTCTCTTCTTGTGATACATCATATACAAATTTGATTCTTGAGTCTTGACACACACACACACACACACACCTGTGAACCCAAGTATGTATGTTAATTTCCAGTCTGTTTAATTAAGAAAAAAACAGCAAAGAACTGTCCCTTCCAACATAACTGTAAGCCTCCAGTTGGCCTTTACGAATCCAACCTTAACAGCCTTGACCATGTTTTAGTTCAATTTTGTCTTTTGTTTTGTGAAACATTAATGATAAGAAGATTTAAACTTATATTACTAGTAACTAAAATTTGGACTTTCTATGATATTTTCATTAACCTATCAAAGGATCTCTAAATATCATCCCATGAACTTATTCATTTTTCTTGTGTGATTCCAGGCCTGAAACAACATTTTTGAAGGAGATAGTTGACACCATCAACAATAAACTCGATGGAAAGGAAGTTCATCTTCCACCCAATCTAAGTGGGATGGCCACTCGATACCAGGAGATCAATTCCTGGTTAAATCAATCCGATTTTCAGTTCTTAGTAATTTGTGGCATGGGTGGAAGTGGCAAAACAAAGCTGGCGAATTATATTTACAATTCAAATTTGAAGAATTTTGAAAGTACGGGATTTCTTGAAGACATTGATCGCAGATGTAAGACACTCGATGATTTGTTTGAGCTACAGGAACAACTTCTTAAAGAAATTTTAAGTGGAAAGAAGAGAAAAATACCAGGTGTTTCTCCAAGTACATGTACATTGGAGGACGCCTTAGAAACAAAAAGGATGCTTATTGTTCTTGACGACATTGCTATATATAGTCAACTACTCACTTTACTTGGAACTGGAAAGATTAATGCACAGAGCAAGATTATAATAACCACCAGGGAAAATACAGATGGTTGGTTTAAGTTTAGAGATTGGAGGTGTCAAGTTCATGAAATGAGGGATGATTAAATAAGAATGAATCATTATCTTTTAAGCGTCATGCTTTGGTTCCAATGTTTCTATAGAAGATTTGGAGGAGCTTGTTTGTAGAAATAGCATGATATTGTAGAGGAATTCCTCTTGCTCTTGTAGTGTTCGCTTCTTCTTTAGCCAATGACAATATCATCTTATATTGGAAAAGCTAATTGGATTTATTGAAAAATAAAAATTGATTCTTGGATTTAAAGTGTACTTATAATTACCAATGAGTTATTGCCGACTGGCTTTATACAAAGAATTCTCTTCTTTGTTGGCAAAGACGTCTATTACATGGTAAAGATATAGGAGTCTGGTTTATGTGCAGTAGATTAAAACTCTAAACATGTGCCTTCTTTCTGTTTCATTATACAAAAAACTAATGATACACCGATTGCTTCAAGAGATGGGAAAACAATGTAGATCGTCAAGAATCAAGATTCCTTGCAAATCTAGTAAGTTAGGCTTAGTAGCAGTTCTTATAAGATATTGAGGAAAGGAAACGTAAGGTAATTCTCTTATGTATGTTTAAGCCTATTTTACTTTCATGCCCCTAATATATCATTTGAATTCTATGGCTTATCATTTTCTTTATTTAAAAAGGATGAATCGTATCCAAATAATTTTTTTTCATTTAGGGTTGAGGAACAATGGAAGGTTTAGCACTTTGACATTCAAGTATTGAGGCATGACAATTTTGTGTTCAAGGTTATACAAAATAAATAAAATGGAAATTGGTACGAACACTACTATAAAATAGGTCTTTAATGAAAAGTGAACTTTGACATACACTAAACTATGACATACATTTTTTTATATCATAAAATGGCCATCTTTTCTAAAATTTGAAGGATTTATGACATTCATAATTGTAAATTTGTGTCATCTAATATTTATGACATTAACTTTTGTATGTCATTTTTTAGTGTCATAATATAAACAATAAATAATAAAAACAATAAATACACTTCATCAAATATGTATGTCATCTTCTAATTTTTGTGTTATAATTCCTAAACCTCGCTTCAAAGATGTCCCATCCTCACAAAATTGAGGAAGACCTATGGCTTTTGTGATAAAAAATAAAAATACATCACAAAATTGTTCACAGAGCCGGTGATTAAGGGTTTTGCGACTCTTTGTGCCCATATCACCGATGATTATGTGTTGTTACTCATTCCCTCTCCATCTCTCTTCTATCCTACTTCGTCTACCTATGTCTATGGAGTCTATTTTATGGGTAGCAATTTGAGCCGATGATTTACGTTGCCAATTTTTTCTGATTGACACTTCACTTTTCTTACTCGAACACCATTTTATTCATTATTTTTCAAATTTGATCACATTGTTGTTGGCCGATTTGTTTGTAGGTAACATGGAAAAGAGCTTTTGTGACAACTCACTTTGACATTTAATAAGAATTTGAATGAATATATTACATTCTTTCATCTCCATTAGGTCAAGAAACGAGAACCATACTCCATCTTCATGTCTAGCTTAAAACTCTACAATGCAATTCCTTCTCAAATTCAATCAATTGGCTCAACATTACATAACAATATGTAAAGAGTGATAAATCAACCATGTTGAAAGGGTTATTGTGGTAGGCTTCTTGTTTTTATATCTCTTGGAGTAACAAAATCCTTGGTTGCAGGTATTTCCTAAACTAGGAAGAAGATCGTTGATTTTTTGAATGGTATGAATCCACCCCTTATCTAAGTTCAACTAAAAATGTGAACTCTAATTTATTATTTCTCATTATGTTATCATATCTCTTTTTGTGTTTTGCATAATCTTGGTTGGGTTGGTATTTTTGTTGTAGTTAAAGGGGTAAGAAGTTAGGGCGCTACTATAACAACTATGACAATATTTTATTGAAATGCCTGTGTAAGGTCCCAATTCAACCAATTTAATTTGGAATATGCGATATAATATGTAAAGTTCGATGTTGACTATTTTGTTTTTTATATTTGAACTACACTAATATAATGGTATGAAATATGATTACTCTTATGGTATGTGAATGCATTATTATAAAAATGTGCAGGAACATGGTAATGTGTTTAAGAAGCATCAATATGTTGATATGTTCATGTGCTCGTTATCAATGTAATGTGTAGACTACCAAAAAAAGTCGATAACCAAGGTTCATCACAAAAACAAATAGAAAGTTCATTACCAAATAGAAATATGTTCAGGTGATCATTTGTTTATTGCCCAGAATAGAAGTCAATGAGTAAAGTTCATTACCAAAACAAAACCAATATTCATCACTACATTAGAAATGCATTAATGTGCAGATGTGTTCATAGACCAAACCTATGTGTAGATTACCAAAAGAAAATTGAATGGAGAAAGCTCATTACCAAAGCAAAACCAAAGTTCATTACTAAAACATTTATTTAAGTTCATGTTTTCATTGACCAAAATATAGTCCATTACCAAAACAAAAATGTGTTATATATGATCATGTGTTTATTAACCATACCAAAATTTACTAACAAAACATAAACGTGTGAATGGTGTTATATGTTCATTGACTAAACCAAAGTTCATTATAATTACAATAAAAAATATGTTAAGGTAATCATGTGTTCTTGAAAGATCTATATGCTCCATAATCATTATAGAATGATATTTGCAAATAACATATGATCTTATAGTGCCACACCTTATAACAAGTACACAATTATTGTTTATTTTTAAGAATTTAATTACTAATATATATTATCAAATCTTGTATTTAATTGGTAAATTATAATTTTATAAAAATGTTTTTTCCAAGAGAGAAATCAACTAATAACTGATAAGGTATGATTTATATGTTGTATACATTATTTTGGACAAGTTAAAGTTCATTTATATAATGTTACATAACGCATACACATGTTAGTTAATGAGATGGAATGAAAGTCACTCCATCCTCTCTTTTCTTCCATGAACTCGTAGACTTCAAAGGGGAGTGGTTGATTGTTTGTCTTCTATTCTCTTAATTTCTTATGCTTCCTTACTTTCCATACTTATGAATTTAATGAAGGTATGGTCCATGGTACATGCATACAAATATAAAGAGAAGAAAGGCTTTCAACTATGTTCATCTTTCATTCTTTTTTTTTTGCTTCAGAAACAGTGGGTTTCATTTTCCCATTTACTTGCTTTTTTTAAGAACTATTGATTAGTTTGGTAGTTCATGAGTCCTTCTACTTAAGACTAATTTGGTATGAATTCTGAAAGGCTTAAAAAGCATTTAATATAAGAGAATATTATCATCGTTGTTTGCCAACAGTTGCTTGGTGGATACATATAGAAGATCTCTACTTTGGGTCTCTTTTGCCATCCTCATCAACTTACAAGCCTTCCCTTGAAGAATCAAACTCTACAAAGGTTGTTATTGTTTTCATTCTATGCTTGGTTTAAAACCCTTAAAACCCTACAATTGGTATAATGGCCATTTTGCTTGCTTGGTTAGATTATAAAATTATTTGGATAATCTTTATTTTTGGAAAACATGGATGATTTTCTTTTATAAGAAAATAGCATACATATTTTCTATGACAACTATAAAATGTTTATAATTGTTATTTTTAATAACCAAAATTTTAACATGCATTTTGGTCATAAAAGTTGTTTTATATATATATATATATATATATATATATATATATATATATATATATATATATATATATATATATATATATATATATGTGTGTGTGTGTGTGTGTGTGTGTGTGTGTGTTGGGGTGGGGGTGTATAATGTGCATAAATTATAGAGTAAATTACACGGATGATCTCTATGGTTTGGGGTAATTTGCACGTTTGATCCCTAACTTGTGTTTTTAATTCGGAAGGTCCCTATTGTTTGTTTTTGTTGCGCTTGGTCCTTGTCTTACCTAAAATAACTATTTTGTCATTCATTTTTTAATTTATTTAAATTAACACACCCCAACCCCACTTCCACCTCATCTTATCTTACCTTACCTACCCCACTTTATTTAAATAAATTAGAAAATAACAAAATTACAAAAATGGTCCCTATGGTTTGTCAAAAATCACAAAGTTAGTCCCTGCTAAATTTTTTTGATGCAAATGATCCTTGTGGTTTGAAAAACTTGCACGGATGACCCTTTTTATTCACGCCGTTAGTATTCAGCCGTTAGGGACTGAATTTGTAAGGGCATTTTCGTTTTTTGAAATATAAAGGGACTGAATTCGTGATATTTGGTAAACCACAATGACCATTTTTGTAATTCGTCTAAAAAGATTTTAAATGTGGGGACGAGGATTCAAACTTGGGACCTCCTCCCCCTCTCCCAAATCAACCTAAGCATTATACAACTAAGCTGCATTCAAACTTGATTTGAAGTTCCGAAAAATAAATGATATTACGTAAAATCGAAAAAAAAAAGATAAATAAAAAATTAAATTACAATTTATTTTACATATTTTTTTTAATAAAACAAATTGTACTTTTACGTATTGAATAAAAAATGAATTTTTACAATTAGTTTATATGTTATTTTACGTAATATAATTTTTTATGTATTTAAAAAATACGTTTTTTGTATAATACATTATTATCTGTTATAATCTTATAAATACTTTTTACGTTATGTTAACGTCTTTAATTGGTTTAAAACAAAACTACAAGTATTTTTTTAAATAAAAACATTAAGAACATGAAAACATAACGTAAAAAAAAATACTTGAATATTCGTTTTAAATCACCTAAAGATGTTAAGATAACAAAAAAGTATATTTTAAGATTTTAACAACGTAATAACGTATTATACGAAAATGTATTTTTTAAATACATAAAAACATACTTCACATAAAATAAATATATACAAAAAAAAAAGTTATGTTTTTTTTAGGATTACGTTTTTGTATAATATGTTATTACGTTTTTTTATGTATTTAAAAATATATTCGGATTATAACAATGTAATAACATTTTATACGAAAACGTATTTTTTAATATATAAAAAAAACATATTTTTCATAAAAAAAAACTAGGTAAAAATTTGTTTTTCTATGTGAAAGTAAAAAAATTTATTATTTATATGAAAACGCTAAAAATATGTTTTAGGATCATATAAATGTACAATAACATATTATGCAAAAATGTATTTTTTTAAATAAATTAAAAAATATATTTTACGTATAACAAATAGTTAAAAAAAATTGTTTCTAAAAATTATTTTTTTACAATACACTAAAATATATTTTGTTTTATTATATATAT